TGCTTGGCATATGCAAAGAAAGGAGGTGGCCTGCCCACCCCTTGAAAAAACAGCCCTAATGTTTATGGGCAAGAGTAGATAATGTTGTCACTTGCTTCTCTACCAAAACATAGAAAACATTCTGCAGGATGCACTATGTAATGGATGGAACAGCCTCTAAGCACCAGAATTCAAGTTCAGTTAAAGTGTATTACAAGTCTTGTGAAAAAGCCTATCGTATGTAGCATGGCTACTGAAAGAATGGCTATTTGGAAACAGGAAGGGCAGTAGGAGATGGGGGACAGGGAACAGGGTGGGTGGAAGAGGTGAGGAGTGGGAAGGGTCATAATAAGTCATGGCGAAACAGCCTGGAAAAGGAGTGAATGCCAGGAAAAACCCTTCCTAATAGGGGGGCAGGGGTGAGGGGATGAGATAAGTGCAATAGGTCCAATGAAAAATCAAAACAAAGGAACAGGAAAAGAAAGATTCCAAATTACTGACCAAATAGCCTAAAATAACTAATATAGAACAAAAAAATCTCTGTAAGTTTAAAAACTAGCCAAGATTCTGTCACAAAGAAAAAGCTGCTGAGAGAAAAGAGTTAGGAAATTCCCGGCCCAGGAATTCTAGAGGATAAGAGATAAAGAACATGTATGGCAGAAGCTACAAAATGACCACACGATTGGTATGGGGCCTGTATTTGTACAATTCTGAGAACAACAGAACCTTACTTCTTCTAACTACAGCTAACAAGCCAGAACTGATACAGCAGGGTACCAAAACACAGAGCTGATGTCATAAAGCCAATTTCACATAAGAATTCTTTGGTTATGGTTTTACCCAGATTATTTTAATAATATCTTAAATCTTGACCCAAATGAAATTTGACTAATTTGCACATGCCACAGGTAATTACAAATTTCTAGATTATAACAAAACTGTGAAGTTTTGGTGTCTCTAGAGACACACTGATGAGATGCTTTTTCTCTTGAGCATTTCCAAAAAGTTGACCTATCATTGTAGTAGCATTTAAATATGGTCATCTTTTATTCAAAGAAAATTTAACCACAGAGAGAGAGGATGAAAAATGCAACACTGAAGATCAAGATAGAAAGCTTAGTGGAGGCTGAACATGTTGGTGGAAATTGAGTACAAGTTTTTAAAAGAAAGCAGCACAGATTATTAATGCTGGGGCTCCACAGTTCCAGATACACACATGCACCTATCAAATGCACCTATTTGGGGAGAATCTCAGACTTGTCTTAGAGATATTCTGGGAAATGAAGGATGAAGTCTTAATGATAAAATCCTAAGGGCTCCTGGATGCTCTGTTCAGCATAAAATCTTCAACTTTTCAGAAATATTAAAAATATCTAGCATGTAAAAAACAAAAAGTTACAATTGCACATATGATTGAATCATGGAATGCTGGGGATGAAGATCATGAGAAACCCCTAAGACTGCACAGGCAGTAGCAGAGAGGTGGCAGAACCTAGGTCTCCTGACTTCCAAATCAAAACCCTTTCCATGCCTCCAGATGGCTTAATCACCAGCAAAATATGCATCTTCAACATACAGTTATAGTTGACAGTTTAAGATGATGGAGTAGTCGGGTAGCTGACAAAATTCATCATTTATCCACTATGCCCAGGGATTTTCTTAAAAACTATGTTGTTCTGCCATAGGCCACTCTGGAGAAGAGTCTCTTACCTGAGTTTTGTCACCAAGATGCTATATTTTGGGCTCTGTTGGACTTAACCTGATTTATAGGTGATCATTTAGTAACAACATGCAAAGTAGCTTACAGTTAAACAGAACTGCCCAGTTCTGGTTTAGATGTTTTTTTTCTACCTAATATGTAGATATGACAACACATAGCAATACTAAATAGAAAGGTTTGCTTACAAAACTGAACGCTTGTAACAAATTCTTCTGTAAAAAGAATGACACACCCCACCACCATCTGGGTTATATGATTTACATCAAAATTATTTATCAAAAATGTTCTGAAGAATTTTATTGTTAACAATCATTTGATCAATAAATATGAGAGATGCCCTCTCAAAAAAAAAGTGTTCTGAAGAAATAGTCTCATACTGTACAAATATTGGTCAATATTCTCTCAGAGATTAAGGCCACAGCCAGGAAGGTTAATACGAACCTAGATTTTATTAAAGTATCTATTAAATTTTTTCCCTTTTGAATAGCTTTTATTTTGTAGACCAATTTTAGGTGCACAGGAAAATTGAGCAGAAAGTAGAGGCTTCCCATGTACACTCCTTCCCCTATACACAGACATCTTCCCCACTACCAACATCCTGCCCCAGAGTGATACCGATGAACTGATACTGACACGTCATTATCACTCAAAGTCCATAGTTCACATTAGGGTTCATGTCTGGCATACATTCTATGGGTTTTGGCAAATGTACAGCATATATCCATCATTAAAGTATTATACAGAATGGTCTTCCTGCTCTAAAATGTCTGTGCTCCACCTATTCACCCATCCTTTCCCCCAATATCTGCAACCATTGATTTTTTTAATGCCTCCACAGTTTTGCCTTTTCCAGAATGTCATATACTTGGAATCTTACAGTATGTAGGCTTCTCAGATTGACTTCTTTTTCTTAGTAATGTTTGTTTCATCCATGTATTTTTATGTCATGATAACTCATTTCTTTTTAGTGTTGAAAAAATTCCATTGTCTGGATGTACCATGGTTTACTTATCCATTCACCTACTGAAGGGTATCTTGGTTGCTTCCCAGTTTTGGCAATAATGAATAAAGCTGCTATATCCATGTGCAGGTTTTGTGTAGACAAAAGAAGTCAACTCATTTAGGTAAATACCAAGGAGTGTAACAGCTGGATCATATAGTTAGGTGAATGTTTAGTTTTATAGGAAATGCTAAACTTTTTTCCAAAGTGTCTGTACCATTTTGCATTCTCACCAGCAATAAATAAGAGTTCCTGTTGCTCCACATCCATGTCAGCATTTGGTATTATCAGTATTCTGGATTTTGGCCATTCTAATAAGTGTATAGTGGTATCTTGCTGTTGTTAATTATTTTTCCCTAATGACATATGATGTGGAGCATTTTTGGTTTGCTGATTTGCTGTCTACTTTGGTGAAGTGTCTGTTCAGGTCTTTGGGCCTTTTTAATCAGATTGTCTGAGTTCTAAGAGTTCTTTGTATATTTTGGATAATGGTACTTTACCAGATGTCTTGCAAATATTTTCTCCAAGCCTGTGCCTTGTCTAGTTCTCCTGACAGTGTCTTTCACAGAGCAGAAGTTTTTAATTTTAACGAAATACAGCTTATCAATTATCATGAGTCGTGATTTTGGGGTTGCACCTAAAAGTCACCAAACCAAAGGAAATTTATATTTTCTCCTATGTTATCTCCTAGGAGTTTTATAGTTTTGTTTTACATTTATATACTGAGTTGATTTTTGGGAATTTAAGATCTGTGTTTAGCTTCAATTTTTTTTTTTTTGCATGTGAATGTCCAGTTGTTCCAGTGCTATTTGTTTAAAAGACTTTTCTCTGTTGTATTGACTTTGTTCCTTTGTCAAGTATCAGTTGACTGCATTTGTGTGGCTCTATTTCTGGGCTCTCTCTATTGATCTACTTGTGTGTCCTTTTGCCAATACCAGACGACAGTGACTTCATTTCTGTGACCTTATAATAAGTCTTATATAGATATCTTCAATCCTCCAACTTTGTTCTTTTCCATTAATATGTATTGGCTTTTCTAGGTCTTTTGCCTCTCCATCTAAGCCTTAGTTTGTTGATCCCACAAAATAACTTGCTGGGATCTTGACTGGGATTGTGTTGAATATACAGAACAAACTGGAAAGAACTAACATCTTGACAATATTGAGTCTTCCTATTCATTGACATGGAAGACTACCTCAACATTTATTTAGTTCTTCAACTTGTTTAATCAGTTTTGTAGTTTTCCTTATGCATATTTTAATATTTTGCTAGGTTTATACCTATTAAACTTATTGGGAGTGCTAATGTAAATGGTATTGTGTTTTAAATTTCATTTGTTCATCGCTAGTATATAGAAAAGCAATTGACTTTTGTATATTAACCTTCTATCCTGCAACCTTCTATAATCATTTATTAGTTCCAGGAGGTTGTGTGTGTCAATTCTTTTGGATTTTCCACATAAATGATCATGTCATCTGTAAAAAGTGTTTCATTTCTTCCTTCCCAATATGTGTTATTTCTTTTCCTTGTCTTCTTTCATTAGCTAGGATTTGCAAAATGATGTTGATAAGGAGTGGTGAGAAGGGACATCCCTGCTTTGTTCCTCCTCTTAGCAGGAAAGCTTCCAGTTTCTCACCATTAAGTATGTTAGCTGTAGATTCTTACAGATATTATTTATCAAGTTGAGGAATTTCTCCTCTGTTCTCAGTATACTGACAGTTTGTAAAATGAATGGGTATTGGATTTTGTTAAATGCTTAGAAAAAGCATCATTTGATAGAATCATGTCATTTTTCTTTAGCCTGCTGGTGTGATGGATTTCATTAATTGATTATGAATGTTCAACCAGCCTTGCATACCTAAGATAAATTCCACTTGGTTGTATTGAACTTACATCTTTTAATACTAACAAAAAAATCAATAATTTTAGGTTAGGTTTGTGGAATTTCTAAAAAAATCATTTTTCACTAACCAAATTTACTAACAGCTTCCCAAACTTCATCCTTATGAATTTAATTATTTTCTAATTTTTGCCAAGAATTTCTTAGAACACATTTTAAGTCTCTCAATTTTCAAAATGAAATGTGTATACTTTCAGAGACCTATCTAAGTGCCCATATATTCTGTCTACACACACACTCACACACACAAACACACACAGATAATGTAGTACTACTGTTTTATGATTAGACTTGTGTAACACAGTGGTCTTACAACAGGGTACAAAATATCTTTGCTTCTTCAAGCTCATCACATGGCAAAAGGGAGAGGATAGAAGAGTTAGGAGACAAATACACTTGTAGGTGTTTCAAAAACTATTTTTTATTGTTACATTCCAAAGAGGACATAGGAAGAAAAAAAGCCAGTTATCCAATAACTATTATACCTTTCAGAAGGAGGAACCCAGAACTCCAGTCCTAGTTCAAAGCTACACACACTAGAGCTCAAACAGCTGCCTCCCAACCTGACCAGAAATGCAGACAGATATGTGTATGTCACCAATCCAGGGAGGCTTAGATTTAAAAGAAAATTTCTTTATTGCAAGTGTCCAAGTCCTTAGAATTTGTCCTTAAGGATACCAGAAGATGAGAGAGACCACACACATCAAGACTATGTTTAGTCATTAGAGTAAACTAGCAAATGGCTAGTTCGTTCCAGGATGCATTGCATCAGACATCACAGTACATGAAGAAAATCTGTGTTTTGTGAAAAGCCACCAGGCATTTCAGATCCAGTTTACCATCAAGTGCAGCCACAGACCAACCAGATACCTAGATAATACAATCAGTGCAAAATTCAAGTGGGTAAGTCAGGGCTTTGATGAAGCTGGCTATGCTGCAAAATATAAATGAAATTTGAAAATAGAAGGTAAAGTCTATTTACAAAAGTTTGTTTAGTAAAATGATTTGAGAAAAGTTGTCAAGCACTTCCCAACATCCCTCCCCTCCCATGCCAAAAAAAACAAAACAAAAAACAAAACAAAAGAGCTACCACCTGAAAATTATCTTGAAAACCAAGTTAAAACTATGTGGTGAAAAAGAGAGTGCTTGTTCCAGGTAAAGGACTTCAAGGTAATTTACAGGCTGACTTATTTTTATTAGTAAAAGTCATAAATAGAAAGAGGTTTCTTGGCTGACTTTGAGGTGTGTGCTTTTAAAAATGTTTCTATTAATACATTAACAAGAAAAGAAAATACCAAGCACTTTTTTGTTTCCAGTTTTGAATATTCCAGTAAGAGTTGGTGAAATCAACAGAACATTAAAACAAAACCCAGAAAAGCTCTATTTATTCCAGTTGTCTGCCTTGTTTCTTTCCAGTCATCTTGAATTTGAGTTCAGTTAACTGAGGACAACATGACGGTCAAAGACAGATTTTCGTTGCTCTTGAACTTGAAGCTTCCAGCGCTGCTGGGCATACTCTACTTTATTCAGCACATTGGCCCGACTGCGGGAACGGGCCAGCACATCATGCGCATTTGCGAAAGGCTGGTGATCCTGAAAGTCCAGGAGTGGAGAAGAGCAGAGATGGCATGATCAGTGTAAAACACACACACGAAACAGCCGTTATCCAGCCACAGATAAAGGAGCAGCTGGACTTTTCAAATAATGACCATCTATTTGGTCAAGCACTCCTAGGCACTCAAGTGCCAGAAGTAGGATGAACTGAACTACAGAAATAGGTGGTTCAAGTAGCACAAGCAAATGAGGAGGTATTTGTGAAATGTTCCCACGAGTCACCATTTCCCTTAAGAAGCAGGGACCAAGACAAAGACATTTACGCTAAAGAGAAGCCTTCTCTGAAGAGTAAAGAAATTCATGTTACAGATATGGAAAGTATGGCTTTTCTTTGCTTTACTCCATACTATATAGCTAATCTGTGGCTGAGGAAAGACCTGTTGTTTAGTTTTCTGACTCCCATTATATTAGAACTGTTACTTGCCAGCTTGGGGTAACATTCACCCTGGATCTTGATGAGTGGACAGGATCTTATCTTGGTTTTAATCTCTCCCTGCATCTTCAATATATATGCTAAATGGACTAGTTTCCAAAATCCTTCTCATTTCCCCACGTCCCCAGTCTATATCGAGAAGAGACACAGCTCCAGTGCTATAATTATCCTCTATTACCAAGGACAGCAAAGAATTACTACTTCAGCATTTCTATCCAGTAAAGACTTGAATCCTTCGCTGCTGAGCACTCAGGGCTCCCATACTAGTTGTTGCTTTAGGAAAGAGGCTACTGAAGGGTTACCTGGGTACCTGTGTGAAAAACCAACCCATCCTGGTCAAAGTAAACCAAAGCCACTGATGTTTGTAGTCATTACACAGGAAACCACCATGCTAATCTATCTATGAATGAGATACAAACACAGCTGCTTAAGTGACAAAAAGCATTCAATACTAATTTATTGCTTTTGTTTGCCTTTTCCTTGATCTCTTTTGCCTGAACCCTGTTAGCAAAGCTTCTAAATGTTCCAACATAGGATCCAAGTCACAAGTCATACCTTTTAAATTAAACCTTGCCTCAAGGAAAGAAACAATATTGTTTTGCTGTGCATGTTTGCAAAAGCTCTATTATATATCTAGGGCAGGAGTCAGCATGTCTACAGAAAGTGATACACAACCATATAATCATATATACAACTATAACTACATGGTGTTATAACACCTGGTATTTTTATAGCAAGACAATTATACAATGTCTACATTTCAAAGACATCAAAAGTTTTCTATAAAAAATCTCTCCCTGCCTTCTTTACCAAAATTGCCTCAACTTTTCACTTAATTTAGGTTAACATTACTTCATTCAGAAATTGACAGAGTCCACAAACTGGTTATTCAGTATAGCTTAGAAGACTACGCTGTTTTGTCATTATCCTGTTTGGGCTTGTTTCAGATTTCTCCACTGTTTCATTATCATGTATATAATTTTCTTTTGAAATTACTTTTTACTTTTGATTACTTTATTGGACTTCTGCAAACGCCACTTATTTTTTTATTTTTAACCTTACAAATGAAAATAATAAAAACAATTCCACAAAGTTCAAAACATTTCTAAAATGTAAAAAAGAAGGTAAGGAAAAGAAGAAGAAGGCTAAAATTGCTGAATTACTTGATTTCCCATAAGGAAATAAACTGATTCAAGGTCATTCTAACAAATGGGCACAAACACTGAGACTTGGCTCACCTAACCTTGACTTGGTGTCATATTGTCTCAACATACTGATTTTTGTTCAGGTAGAGTAAAATGACACTAGAGGAATATGGTGCTTCAATGAACTTGTATATAAAATATTATTATCATTGGTTTGTTTTGACATAAACAAGCCTGGGAAGAAGGATGTACTTTATCAACAGAGCACCTTTCAGATTCATAGTCCTGTTATCTACTCTTCAATGTAGGGGGATAAAAGTTGTCTTAAGGAACAAATTTTAAAAGACTAAACAAACCAGTTAATCCTTTTGGTCTGCTCTCCACCTCTCAGAACAAGATTGAACTAGCTCCTCATGGTCATAGATGCTGGGGGAATGCAAATAGAGACTTACCCTTTTTATATGTTTGTTCTTTTTACACCTGCTAAAATTACAATAAATACAAAACATGTTTTAATGTAATGCTTTGATAATAGCAATGATGTGTCATGGATATATGATATAGTAAATATTGTGACTACTTGAAGTGAGCTTCTTAACTGTTTGTACTAACTTCCACTTGATTTAAAGTGCTCTACACTCAACAAAAATGGGGGGAAAAATGAAAACAGACTTTAAGCATTTAGCAAAAGCATTTTTTAAAACACATAAATAGTGAAGAACTCTCATCTTAGATAAGCAACAATTGTAGGAGTTTAAATTTAACTTCTTTTTGTACAGAGTTGTTACCATAGTTCATAGCTCTAGTCAAAAAACCTCGCTCTGCCCTGAATCATTTAGCAGACAAGAGTCAGACGAGCCTCTTAGAGACAATGTTCTCAAATGGCCACATACACACAGAATCAATCACTGGTGAACAAAATGGTCACTAAGCACATGACCCCACAAATCAAATGCCTTTCCTACATGTTTTCATATATACATTTGGGCATCCCTTTTCTTTTCTTTTACGTTCTGTGTATTACATTAATATTCTCTATTCCTAAAATCAGGAATCCTGTATTTAATGCTTTAAAGGATACAGTTTAAGTCAGACTTTTAATCAATGTGCCTATAATGAAATGGTTTATGTGCCTTTGATACATAACATTTTCACATGTTAGCAGTTCTCAGTTGGGAGTGATTCTGTCCCCCAAACCCAAGGACATTTGGCAAGTCTGTGGATATTGCTGATTACCATGATTGGGATGAGAGGTGCTACTGGCATCTAGTAGGGAGAGGTTAGGGATGCTGCGAAATATCTTACAATGACCAGGATAGCCCCCCACAACAAAGAATTATCCAACCTAAAATGTCAATACTGTTGAAGCTGAAAAACCTATCACATGTGAATGAAAATGAACACAGAAACAGTATCTGACACTCTTAATGCTTCTGGTATATAACCTCCTGCCCTAGCTCTCTCACCCCATTAGCCACACTATGCCTTGTTTTTGACCACATCAGATCTCCAGTCTTGACCTTTCTCCCAGCCTATCAGTCCCCTCCTGGAATTCTTTGGAAAAAAATAGGGATTTCTTATATAATTAAAAGTAAAAGGTAGAAACATATTATTATTAGTGATTTATTTTACATGCCTATTTATTTTTTATTCATCTCTTTATCCTAGTACCCACAACAGTACATGATACAGAAAAGTCACCATTATGTGTTGACTGAATTAATAAAAGAAGCAAGGGAAAAAAGGCAAACAGAGGTATTTCTATGAAAATTCTTAACGAAAGTGAAATCTTGCCCAAATAAGTTGAGTATTCTTAATTGATGTTCATGAGACAACAATATATTGATCAAACAACAGGCTCTGCTTGCAGTATAACTCAAACCTTCCAGTCAGGATCCCCTTTTCCATTTTTTACCAACAGGTGCATAGCCATTCCAGAGTAAAAGGACTTGTGACTGGTTGGCAAGAGGTTGCCCAGCTTTAGCTTTTGAAATTGGTTCTTGAAACTCTATTGAATTTTAACCACTTTAAGGAACACAGTCCAATAAAGTAATCAAAAGTAAAAAGTAATTTCAAAAGAAAATTATATACATGATAATGAAACAGTGGAAAAATCTGAAACAAGCCCAAACAGGATAATGACAAAACAATGTAGTCCTCTAAGCTATACTGAATAACCAGTTCGTGGACTCTTGTCAATTTCTGAATGAAGTAATGTTAATATTTCTGAATGAAGTAATGTTAACACAAAAAGAATACCATAAAACAATTTATACACTGGTAATACCAACTATATATGCAAATATTAATGTTTTAAAGATAGGAAGAGAACTGGAGGTGATGGTTTTTCTTTAAAAATCAGACTTTAAGAAGGAAAACAGGAAATATAAAATATCAGCAGGTTATTAAAGTTGCACTTCATTAAAAGAATATCATGGTCTTCGTGTTTCCCTTCACTAAAACCTCTTCACTTTCTGAAATATTTGGTGAGGTTGACAGGAAAGGTGTTCGAATAGTAACTTGGGGAGAAAACTACCTCAGATGCTTCCTCAACATAAACAGGGAAAGGTGATGCAAACGGCACCCTTGGCACTGAAGGGCAAGGCCTTGTAAGGCACACTTGCCAAGGCTCATCAGTTTGAACCACGGTATTCATGGCTTTACAGACAATTTCCTCAGAAAGAGACATATACTAAACTTAGAACTGACTTTTAGCTTCCTTAATTGAGGATCTGCTGCAGTGCATGAAAATCTACACCCGACTATTTCTCACTTGCACTGTACATCAGATGGTGACAGAGACTACCACGAACAGCTGGAGTGTGCTAAGAACTTACCCCAACATCATCATCACTCTGTATCAACTGTGAGTGTCCAAATAGGCGTCTCTTCAGTATGGGCTCAACCAGAGTAAGATACACCATGTACAGAAGTAGAAGGCCCAAAATGGAGAGATAAATTATAATAGTAACCTAAAGGAAATAGAAAGTAAATTACACCGGGATTCAAGGCAAGAAATCAAAATTTTGTATAACAGTAAAGCTACAATGGAGCTTTTTATTCTGCTTCCATGTAGGATTTCTACATAGAAATCTGCTAAACACATAGGATTTCTATACAACCCAGATTCCAATGTAAGAAATAAACTTTCACCAAAGTACTCTTTAGGGAAAAGAGGAAAGAAAGTATCTTGTCTTCAGGATCTTCTTGCGTCTTCAAAACTCCACCTTCACCTACTGCTGATTATTTGTCACCACTGCTAGCAAAACAGTTTTCTTTTTTCAAGTGAATACAGTGTTCTAGATTCAGCAGCATTGCTGTCAACTTTAAGGGACCCTACAGAAAATATAATTCAGATGAATTTCAACAGAACACTCTTTTAGATCAATTTAGATACACAAAAATTCATCTTAGGCCAGCGATTTTCTTGAGATCTTAATTTGTGTGCTGTCAAAAAGTATAGTGTCAACCCCCCCACTAAATGGCTATAATTAAAGACACAATAACAGAAGTTAGCAAGCATAGGAGGAGAAACTGAACTGTCATGTTGCTGGTGGGAAATAAAATAGTATAACCACTTTGGAAAACAATAAACATTTATCCACACAAAGACATGTACATAGATATTCATGACAGCATTATTTGTAATAGCAAAAATCTGGAAGTAATCCAAATATCCATCAATTGATGAATGGACAAACAAAATGTGGTATACCCATATAACAGAATGCTATCAGGTAATAAAAAAGGAATTTTACATGCTCCAACATGGATAAACCTCAAAAACATGCTGGAGAGTGAAAAAGACGGGGAAGTATATAAGCAAGGTAGAAACCTCCTCCCACATACACACGAAGGAAGCAACTAGAGAAAATACAACTAACCCTGAAAATGACCTGAAGACTGCAGGATAGACCATCTCCACCTGGCAAAGAAGAGACAGCACACAGAGAATGGTAAAGTGGCAGAGCTGCGATTGATCAGGACCCAGCCCTTCCCCCACATCCCTGCCCAAAAGTGGGAGGGAGAAGAATGGAGTGGGGAGGGGGTAAGCCCTCAGGAACTCTGCACACCTGGCCCTGGAGAGCTACTCTGGGAACATGAGTCCACACTGCATTGGGCTTTGGTGAGAGTTGGAGCACTCTGAGAGCCTGAGAGTCCTGTTGCTTGTGAAGGACAGGCATGCTCTGTGAGTCCCACAGAGACCCAATACAGAGGTGGCAGTGTGAAGGATTTACCAGCAGCAGGAAGGGTGCTAGAAAGGTGGAGGTCAGAGGGAGCTCTGTCTGGAGGAGAAAGGGCAAGTGGATGACTCTTCCTCAGCCCTACTGGTCAGCTGCTCCTAGGAGCTAGCCCCAAATGTTCCATCTCCCTCACTGGCAGCTCGGCCCTGAGGCACTTCCCTGTGTACTCATCCACCTACCCAGCCTGCTCGACCCAGCAGTGATCAGAATTTGCTGCTGCAGGAGGAGGGTGACTTTGCTGCCTGGCAGGTAGAGGCAGGCTTTCCCGGCTTTCCCAGCTTTCCCAGCCCTAACTCAGCCCAGCTGTGGGAGGCAGCTCCAAATGTTCCTTCTTCCTTGCTGGTGGCCCAGCACACTTTGTGCTCCGCTGAGGACCTTCCTTGCCAGCCCCACTGCCCCAGCAGCACTGTTATTGCTGCCAGGAAGGCAGAGGGCAGTCCCACCCAAAGTGATCCCAGAAGAAGCTCTAGAGGGCTCACAAAGGCCTACTACTGAGGCAAGCTGTCAGCCTCTGTTGACCTAGATCAGCCACTGCCAGCAGATAGGCAGAGAGGTGGTCTCACCCACAGCCCACCAAGAGCAACTGCAGCTTCACCATAAAGGAGAACCAGGCACTAGCCAGTGAAGAGTCTTGAGCCTCTGGGCACCACAGGACTCCTTCTTCATAAAGCCATTACTCTCTAGATCAGGAGGCATAGCTGAGCTACCTAATGCAAAGGAAGAAACACAGAAACCCAAACAAAATGAGGAGGCAGAAGAATATGTTCCAAACAAAAGAACAGGATAAGATACCAGAAAGAGGGCTAAATGAAACAGATTACCAATCTTTCTGATAAAGATTTCAAAGTAACAGTCATAAAGATGCTCACTGACCTGCAGAAAAGAACTGATGATCTAAGGGACAACTTCAACAGAGAGACACAAGATTTTGAAAAAGAGCCACTCAGAGCTGAAGAATACAGTAACTGAAATGAAAAATACAATGGAGGGAATGAATAATAGATTGCTGCAAATGGAGGGGGCAATCAATGAGATGGAAATTAGAGAACAGGAAAATGATGAAACTAAAGAACAGAGAAAAAGAATTTCTAAAAATGAGAAGATGCTAAGAGAGCTGTGTGATAATTCCAAATGAAACTGTATTTGCATAATAGGGGTTCCAGAAAGAGAAGAGAGAGACAAAGGAGTAGAATGTCTCTTTGAAAAAACAATAGCTGAAAACTTCCCCAATCTGGGGAAGGAAATAGACACCCAGGTCCTGGAAGCACAGACAGCCCATAACAAAAGGAACCCCAGGAAGATAACACAAAGACATATGATTATTAAAATGGAAAAAATTAAAAGATAAAGAAAGAATATTGAAAACTGCAAAAGAGAGGTAGTTCTGTATAAGGGAAACTCCATAAGGCTATAAGCAGATTTCTCAGCAGAAACTTTACAGGATGGAAGAGAGTGGCCTGAAATAGTTAATGCATTGAAAGGGAAGAACCTACAACCAAGAATCATCTACCCAGCCAGCTTATCATTCAGAAATGAAGGAGAGATTAAAAGTTTCCCAGATAAATGAAAGTTAAAAGAATTTATCACCACTAAACCAGCCTTACAGGATATGTTAAAGGGACTTCTGAAGATGGAAATATTCTTAAACCTAAATATTTTTCATCAGTGAAAATAAACCTACAGTAAAGGTAGTAGAACAATTACTTAGTAAGCACGTATGAAATTGAAAAAAACCAAAAGTAGTAAAACCAACTATACAAAAAATCAGTCAAGGGCTATACAAAAGATGTAGATTATGGCATCTTATATATAAGTGTGGAGGAGGAAGAATAATAAAAAAGTAGTTCTTTTAGAGTGGGTTTGACATAGAGTGACCATCAACTCATAGGCTGCTATATGAGCTGGAAACTATGAATTTTATGATAACCACAAACTTAAACCCTATAATAGATTTTAAAAATTAAAAAAAAAGAAATCCAAGCATTAACACTAAAGAAAACGATCAAATAACAAGAGGAAGAAACAGAGAGGAACTACAAAAACAACCAGAAGACAATTAATAAAATGGCAATAAGTATATACCTATCAACAGTTACTTTAAATATAATAGACTAAATGCACCAATCAAAAGACACAGAGTTGCAGAAAGGATAAAGAAACAAACAAGATCCATCTATATGCTGCCTACAAGAGACTGATTTCAGACCTAAAGACATACATAGACTGAAAGTGAAGGGATGGAAAAAGATATTTCATATGAACAACAGGGAAAAAAGCAGGAGTAGCAGTACTTATAGCAAACAAAATAGACTTCAAAACAAAGTAACAAGAGGCAAAGAAGGACATTATGTAATGATAAAGGGATTAGTTCAATATCAGGATATAACAATTCTAAGTATCTATGCAGCCACACAGGAGCACCTAAATATGTAAAACAAATACTAACAGACCTAAGGGAGGAAATAGACAGCAACACAATCATATTAGAGGATTTTAATACCCCACTTACATCAGTGGATAGATTATCCAGACAGAAAAAAAATAAGGAAACAGAGGTACTGAACAGCACATTAGATCAAATGGACTTAACATATATATACAGAACATTTCACCCAAGGATACTTATTTTTCTCAAGTGCCCATGGAATGTTCTCCAGAACAGATCACAAATTAGGACACAGAAAGAGCCTTAATAAATTCAAAAGAATTGAAATTGTATCAAGCATCTTTTTCAGATCACAATGGTATGAAAACTAGAAATAAATTACACAAAGAAAACAAAAATCCCCACAAACACATGGAGGCTAAACAACATGCTTCTAGATAATCAATGGATCAATGAATAAATTGAGGAAGAAATCAAGCAATATATGGAGACAAATGAAAACAAAAATACAACAGTTTAAAATATGTGGTACACCACAAAAGCAGTTCTAAGAGGGAAATACATAGAGCAATATAAGCCTACCTCAAGAGACAAGAACAATCCCAGATAAACTGTAAACTCACAACTAATGAAACTAGAAAAAGAAGAAAACCCAAAATTAGTAAAAGGAGGGACATAATAAAGATCAGAGCAGAAATAAATAAAATAGACAAAACTAAAATAGAAAAGAATCAATGAAACCAAGAGCTGGTTCTTTGAAGACAAACAAAATAGACAAACCCCTACCAAACTTCTGCAGAAGAAAAGAGAGAGGGCACAAAAATATCAGAACTGAAAAAAGGAAAAGTTACAACAGACACCACAGAAATACAAAGAATTATTAGCAAATTCTATGAAAAATTATATGCTAATAAACTGGACACCCTAGAAGAAATGGACAAATTCCTAGAAAAGTACAACCTTCCAAGACCAACCCAGGAAAAAACAGAAAATCTGAACAGACCAATTACCAGCAATGAAATCGAAATGGTAACCAAAAAACTAACAAACAAAAGTCAGGATCCGATGGCTTCACAGCTGAATACTCCCAACCATTTAAAGAAGAGCTAACACCCATCTTTCTTAAAGTATTCTAAAAAATTCTTAGAAGAGGAGGAGATACTTACAAATTCATTCTATGAGGCCAGCATCACTCTAATACAAAAATCAGACAAAGACGCTACAAAAAAAGAAAATTATAGGCCCATACCCCTGATGAACACAGATGCAAAATTCCTCAACAAAATATTAGCAAACCAAATTAAAAAATACATCAAAAGGACAACTCATCACAACCAAGTGGGATTTATCCCACCAATGCAAGGATGATACAATATTTATAAATCAATGTCATATATCATATTAATGAAAGGAAGGACAAAAACCACATGATCATCTCAATAGATGATGAGAAAGCATTTGACAAAATTCAACATCCATTCATGATAAAAACTCTCAACAAAGGAGGTATAGAGGGAACATACCTCAACATAATAAAGGCCATATATGTCATACCCACAGCTAACATACCATACTCAATGGCAAAAAGCTAATAGTTTTCCTCTTAGATAAGGAACAAGATAAGGATGCCCACTCTCACCACTTTTATTCAACACAGTACTGGAAATCCAGGCCATGGTAATCAGACAAGAAAAAGAGATGAAGGGCATCCAAACTGGTAAGGAAGAAGTAAACCTGTCACTATTTTCAGATAACATGATACTATATATAAAAAACCTTAAGGACTCCACAAAAAAACTATTAGAATAACTGGATTCAGCAAAGTTGCAGGATACAAAATGAATACACAGAAATCTGTAACATTCCTATACACTAACTACAAACTAGCAGAAAGAGAAATTAGGAAAACAATTCCATTTACAATTGCACCAAGAAGAATAAAATACCTAGCAATAAACCCAGCTAAGGAGGTGAAAGACCTGTACTCTGAAAACTATAAGACACTGATAAAAGAAATTGAAGAAGACACAAATAAATGGAAATCCAGTCCATGCTCATGGATAGGAAGAATTAATATTGTCAGAATGGCCATCATGCCCAAAGCAATTTATAAATTCAATGTAATCCATATCAAAATACCAATGGCATTTTTCAATGAACTAGAGCAAATAATCCTAAAATTCATATGGAACCACAAGAGACCCCAAATAGCAAAGCAATCTTCAGAAAGAAGAACAAAGCTGGGGGTATTATGCTCCCTCACTTCAAGCTACACTCAAAGGTACAGTAATCAAAATAGTATGGTACTGGCACAAGAGCAGACCCATAGCTCAACAGATCAGAATAGAGAGCTCAGAAATAAACTCATGCATATATGGTCAACTAATGCATGATAAAGGAGCCATGAATATACAATGGGGAAAAGACAGTCCTTTCAATAAATGGTTGGGAAAACTGGATAGGTACATGCAAGGGAATGAAACTGGGTTAGTACCTAACTCTATACACAAAAGTAAACTGAAATGGATTAAAGACCTAAGTATAAGACATGAAAGCACAAAACCCTTGGAAGAAAACACAGGAAAAAATATCTTGAACGTAAGCATGAACATTTTTTTCTGGACACATCTCCTCGGGCAAGGGAAACAAAATTAAAAATGAACAAGTGGAACTATGTCAAACTAAAAAGCTTCTGTACAGCAAAGGGTACCATCAACAAAACAAAAGGCAACCTACAGTATGGGAGAAGGTAATCATAAATGATTTATCCAATGAAGGGTTAACACCCAAAATATATGAAGAACTTATATGACTCAACACCAATAAAACAAATAACCTGATTAAAAAACAGGCAGAGAACTGAACAGACATTTTTCCAAAGAAGGTATATAGATAGCCATCAGGCACATGAAGATGCTCCATATCATTAATCATCAGGGAAATGCAAATCAAAACCACAATGAGACATCATTTCATACCAGTTAGCAAGGCTACTATCCAAAAGACAAGAAATAGCAAGTACTGGTGAGGATGTGAAGAAAAGGGAATCCTTCTGAACTGTTGGTGGAAATGTATATTGGTACAGCCACTATGGAAAGCAGTATAGAGGTTCCTCAAAAAACTAAAAATAGAAACACCATACAACCCAGCAATTCCACTTCTAAGAATGAGATGCTACATATAAAAAAAATGGAGAGAAGAACTGTTAGCCACAATAACAAAGTAATTGAATTGTTTAGAGGTCCAAATGGTGATGAGAGTGACCTATATTCCATTTTTAATAGGAAATAAAGGAAATCTTAAAATCCAGAAGTGATGTTTCCAAACTGGAGTAGTCACTATATATATATATATATTTTTTTTTTTTTCTAAGGATTGAGAGGGCAGGAAGAAGAGGGCTTAACCATGCTGCTCTCTCAGTGGCCTTTGGCATACATGGCCCACAGAGAAGCCAGGTTACCTTTCTGGGATATGCTAGTCGACATACAAGGCACTTTTGTGCCACTTCAAATATCACACCTATATAATGCATCCTAACTAATCCACAAAGCATCTCAGTGAGGCAGGCAGAGAGCAGCCCCGTTGTTCTTTTTGGGGTAGGGGTTGGAGATGAGGAAGGTGTGGATGAAGGGTGGTGGAAAAGGAGGGAAGAGCTGTAGATTAGGGAACTAACATAGAACTCAGCATCCAAAATTTTCTCTTTTGTCTAGGATACCATCAAGAACATTCCAGAAATAGAAAAGATGTTTGTTTTTTTTACCTTGATCGTAACTGAGCTTCTTTCCTCATATTTGCATTCACAGCGTAAACAGTATGCTTCTACATCAGGACCCCGCACAGGCATGGGATCCACAACATGAAGGCAATCACTGAAAAAACAAAGATAAAAATACTACATAAGCCCAACTGGATTGTCTACTTTCATTATAAAAACTTTCCTGAAATCCAGAATAATCACTGAACTTACCCAATGAAAGATTACAAGGAACAAATAAGGGAAGTGAAATCATTTCCTCTCTCAATATTAGCAATTTGGTAAGATTTAATAGTCTAAGAAACCATGAAGACACAAGTGTAGTAGTTATTTTCAGAGATGCCACTGTTGATAGGTAAAAATACGTCGGAAAAAATCCCCAATAGGATCAAAAATTACTTAGCAGATCAAGTCGTATTTAGACTTGTTCAGTTACCAAACAAAACTGCTTTAAATGATTTAAAGTGACCTGTGGCATTGTTTAAATATGAGATTATCTCTTTTATGAATTAACTAATACCATTCTTAACTGCCACCGTGTGGTATATGAATGGCTAATCACACTTAACAGTTGGTAAATTCTGGAACTCTGAAAACTGAACACTGAAAGCCATAGTAAGAAACAATTAGGTTTATAAACAAGCAAAAGTCTATTGAAAAAACATGCAGAAGTAGGACTAGGACAACAAAAATAATTTAAAATGAAAACTGATAACCCAGAAGAAGCATATTAAAAAATCATAAAAGGCTGAACGTTTTTGGTTTTGGATGTTTATTTCCACACACACACACACACACACACACACACACACACCCCACTGCCAACACACACTGATTTTCCAGGCCACTTATTTATGGTTTATGAAAAAGCAACCCTATCAAAAAAATCTTTCCCCAGAAATATGTCAATTCTAGGAAAGAACTACATTACTATTCTCCTCAGCTATTAAGAGCCTAGCACTCTGATCATGTTCAGCAAAGGAGGCGAAGCTTTCCTGTCCTCCTGTCAGGTCCTGGGCCATTTCTTCCCTTTTGTCATCTCTTAGGCATTTCTGGCTTCCTCAAGAACTCTTCTATAGCATTCTCTTACTCCATCCATCTTTCTTGGGGGCACCCAATGTTCTGGGCTGATTACCTGTCAAAGCATACTTTTTCATGTTTTGCTCCCTCTGAGATGAGGCATAAGAAAGACCAAATGGCATAAATGATATAAGTTCAGTTATCCTTAACAGGTAATTTAATTTTAACAAGGGTAGTGATTTAAAAAATAAGCCTCAAAGGTAGAATTTCAAATAAGGATGAAGGTCCCACAATTCACAGCATACAAGTGTATGGTATCTGTTCCAATCATATTGAAGACCAGAAATGTATCCAGCTGGATGCACACATAAGTTGGACAGAGGAAGCTAAATCCCACTACAAGGGTATCTATCTCAGAATTATAGAGGTCATTCAGTTCAACATCTTGGAGAGATCACTTGCACAAGACCACAGAGTAAATTAGTAGCTAAAAGGACCAGAATCCAGGGCTCTTGCCTTCTAGAGCAGCTATCCTGTATCTCTCTGAACCTCAGGAAACTTACCTCCTAGTTTTCTATTTCAGCTTTAGTAGCATTACTAACAATTCCTAAGAATTATGTGAGAATCTAAGTGCTAAGTAATGAGTGTTTCTTTTGAAGTATTAAACATATACAGTTTAATAACAAAGAGATAGTGAGTGCTGTGCAGAAGTTGTGCAGAGTGCAAAAGGAAGCAGGAAGGCGCGTTCTGGCTGGCCAGTCATTGTGAAACCAGATACAGAACTCAAAACACAACCACTTTACGCACTAAGCAACACCTCCCTCTACTGCCAAAAGGAGGATATTATCACCTTTAATTAACCAAACAAACCAGGGAATCCAAACTTAAATCAGACAGCATAAGTCAATGAAGAATTAAAGCTAACAACTGGGCAAAATGGAGGCCAGACGTAAAAAATATATCTAAGGCCAGATAGATATTGGAGGCTTCATAAAGCTCTAACATCCTGATTAATCACAACTTGCCTACCTTTCTAAAGTTAGTTAAAAACTTTCAGTGACAACTGGAAACCTATCCCCAGAAAAGGGCTAAGTTGCAGGAAGGAAGCAGGGTTGTAAAAGGGAAGAGAAATGCCAAGCAAGCCTTGTTTTCAACTTTTTATTCTCAAAGCTCCCAATTTTGACCAATAGCTAGGGATGAACAACATATTGTTCTGTCTGAAACTGGAATAACAAAAAAACAGTGAAAAGATTAGTGCTAACCACTTGAATAGTGAGTTCATTTGCCACTCAAATAATAGGCATCATATTTTGTTACTGACAATAGAATAAACTGATTGTAAGTGCTCAATATATTTGGAAAATTTATAGGAATAACTTAGAAACTTATTTGAACTTTCTTGTATCATATAAAGTAACTTGCTGATACAAAACCTGTGAGAATATAGCTAAATCACTGTAATATGAGACAACTTAAAGTGTAACATAGGCATTCACAAAAAGTTCTCAAGAACACATTTATCAAGTATCAGATTGCACCTAAATGCATATGATGGGAAGAATAGACAATGGCATCTGAAACACTAAACATGCTCAAATTTCTTTTTCAAAGTCACCTTGAAATATCAGAAGTAAGCTTAATTTTACTGTAAAGCTTTTGCTAGTTATTTAGCTGTAAAATCAGGGCCATGTGAAAGCACATAGCATTTGGAGCTATTTGTCCTGTATGCCAATACTAACAATCTGTTAAATTATAGTTACAAATCATAAACCATCACAATTCCATGAGAAGGAGCCCATCCCATCCATCTTGTTTAAAGAACCCAACTGCTTCTCAACCATTTTATGGCATATGTAGAAAAAGCTATCATCTGTAAGGTCCACTGGGATAAACAGAGAAGGTTGCTGGTGGCTAGCCAGTCAGGATCCTAGTCACCATAGGCCTGCCTGATTACCCCAAGGGCTGAAGGGGTCAATACCTTGGCATACCTAACCTATTTGTGATACACCAATTGGGCCACTCTGATACACATGGTTCATTACTGTTCCTTCCTGAGTCTTCCCAATATTTAAACACAGTCTCCTATATATGTCAATATGTCATCAAAACCTACAATGTTAAAATTACAACCCAGTTAAATGAGGTTTGCTTTAGTGAAAGGCAAGAGGGAGGATCAAAACTTAAGGGGCATGGGAAAGTAGCTATGGGTAGTTTAGGTGTCACAAACTCAGCCCCATCTCCATAGAAAACCCTCCCTCCCTGGGGCCTAGAGTTTTGACTATATTCCTTCGGACTTAAATCATGCACTTAGGGCCTTACTCTCATTTTTTTCAAATGGAAATGGAAACTTTGACATTCTTGCTTAAGAAGAAATACTTAAAAAGAAAACAATATACTGGATGAACATTATGGGCTAACAGTGAAAACCACAGAAAGAAATTTCACAGTTAATTCAGTAATCCAGAATACTTACCAATCTTTTTGGGATATGTTCTTATTATAAATATGCCCAGAATTATCTTTATAGGGAGGACAGATACATTTACACCGGACATCCTCGAAATTCTGTAACCAAAATGGAAACATAGGATAGCTTGTTGACAGTTGAACATTAGTATTTTCAAAAACTGTACCATATTCATTTTTCTATCCATCCCCTACCAAATACTCTAAAACCATTCATTTAAAACTTTAAGTAACTTTGAAAGATACAAGTTTTTGACAGCTACAAGTTCTTTTTGGTAGTGCCAATGAATCATTATATATTACATAAATTATTTTGAAATAATATCTAGTATATGATCTGTGACCTAATCACATTTACAGGTCACATGACAATCAAATTGTGCTCACATTATCACCATCTACCTATCAGTAGAAAGACCCAGTACGCAGATATGCCTACAAAATAAGAATGCTGATTACAAAAGAATGGGGAAGAATCAAAGTAAAAATTACTCATAAAACAAGCCACAGTTCTTTCACCCACCACTCTTTGGTAGAAGTGCACTGATATGGATAAGAGGTCTTGGGCCAGAGTCCTATAGAAGGGATGAAACTTTAGAGGCACTCAGCTACAATTAAAAAGGAAGTCCGTACATAAAGTAGCTGAGCCTCACTTTTAAGATCAGTTTGGTCTATCCTTCCCAGAAAATTTTGCTTCTAATCCCTGCAAGATAGAGACGACAACTACTGATAGTTTCAAAAAGTGGAGGAAAAGGTGTCTAAATATATGAACAGCGAGAGTAGGAGATGCTTCCTCAGCAAAGGGGAATCTATCTGAGAGGGCAATGGCTTATTAGTCTGCAAAGGACCAGGCCCACTGCTCCTATGTGATGGCATGTCTGGCAGAGCTGTTGACAACTCAGTCACTCATTCAGCAGCCACTTAGTGAGCATTTGCTCCGTGCAAGAATTCATGCTCAATGAGCTGGATTCAGATAAGAATAAACTGTGGCTCCTGCCAGTAATTAGGACACACTGTAGTAAAGGACACTGACAAATAAATTCATGATTACAACATACTACTTAAAGTGATGACAGGAGATATGCAGAGGGTGCCAGCCACATTTTGAAAGTCAGGAGACTTTCTGCTGTCCTTGTTTTTGCTGGAAGGTGGGGAAGATTTAAAAAAAAAACCTTCTCTTTTCCTTGCCTTCTCTCTTCCTTATAATTTACTGTTATCAAGAGCCCTGATCAAAACCTCCTGATCTGTGTGTAACCTGTCTATTCCAGCCCCTGTGATGAAATTATAGACTAATGGTCCTACTTTCTAAAAATGCAAATTCATTCAGTTTTCCCATCGTATTAATATGAATTCCTTCTGTTTTCTCAAATAATGAGTTAGCTCATCACAGGGGAAGCACAAGTGTATAGGGGACCAGGGCAGAACTGGAGGGTAGGGGCATGAGGGGACTAGAGAGTAGCATGAGGGGACCTGAAGGGCCAAGAAATGGAGTAGGGGAGAAGGCCACAACCTCACCTCTCCTGTAGTTTGGATCCTCCTTTACCCAGTAAATTATAAGGAAGAGAGAAGGCAAGAAAGAGGTCAAGAGGTCCTGAAGGGAGTTAAGTGAAGATATTAGGCTGATGACAGAGACTCTGTAAAGGTCCTGGTAGGAAGGCTGCCGGGAGAGGCAAGTTCCCACAATGGAAAGGGAATCTGTTCAGGGATGAGCTGAGATGAATTAGTTCCTAAAAGAGAAGACTTCTGTGAGGTGGGGGATTCCTATCACTTCCTTTTAGGGAATGAGGGCAGGGGTGGTGTGTTAGCCTGGTGGAGGGCAGCAGTGGGCTGTCAGAACTTAAGGGTGCAAAGTTAAACTTACAGGTTCTCTGAGCTGGAAAGGTTGTAAAGTTTGAGGGGGGTGCTCTCGGGGCTGGAAGGGGAAATGGGGAGATGTCTTGGCTGTGGGCACTGGCAGAACGGGGTGGAGCTGGGGGCAGGCATCAGGACTGTAAAGGGGGAGAGTACAGTCAGGGTGTGTGTTGGGGGACAGTGGGAGAGGGGTAGGTGACTCACACTGGGCTGGAGGGCGGGAGGGCCAGCAGACGGCCCATCAGAGGGTGGGGGATCCGCCGGGGCTGTGAAGCTAGGGGGTGGGCTGTCAGGGCTGGGAAAGGAACAGGCTGAGGGGCAGGTTGACAGACCCAGTCTCCGCAGGGCCGGACACAGGAGCACCCGTCCGGAGCGAGAGCTGGGCGTACTCACCTTGGCGGCGTCTGACAGCTGCACCAGCAGCACCGACAGCGCCAAGCAGGACAGGCTGAGCATGGAGCCAAGCCGAAGGAGGCCTCCCCACAGGGTCGCCATCGCTGCCGGCCCAGCAGGCCCTACAGCCCGGAGCCCCGGAGCCCCCGCTCCCGGCTCTGGTTCCGGCTCGGGCTCCGGCTCAGGATGCGGCTCACGCTCCGCCGCCTGCACTTCCGTCTGGGCCTTTGCGTCACCGGCCGCGCCGGAACAGCTGCCAAGAGCATCCGCCCCGGAAACTGTTCCCGGTGCTAAGGAACCGGAAACTACGAATTCCGGCGCCGGCCCGTCCTACTCTCGGGCCTTGGAATCGAAGGTGTCCTATCGCGGTGCGCCGGCAACCTCGAGCAAGCAGAGCGTTGAGGGCTAGGGTATTTTTCCCGGGAGCATAAGCATTGGGGCCTGTGGACCGCCAGTGCACTTGGAAGGCCTCCCACGCAGGGAAACTCCCAGAATGCCCGGGGTCTCGGTGGAGGCCTCCAGTGACCCCTGCAATGCCGGAGCCGTTCGTTGCCAGGCTCCGGAGGCCGGAGTGAGCCTAAGCCCCTGAAATTGCATGAGACGACCGCCCATCTCGGCGGGTAGTAGGCGTGGGGATTGCTATGGGACTGGCTAGCCATCGCTTCCAGTCATTGGGGTTGGGACGCGCCTCCAGACTCCCTCTCGGCAGGGTTCCTCACAATCTCTATGAGCTGCCTTGGTCGGTGTGGCCTACGCTTGGGACTCCCCGCTTGCCTAGCCAATCTCCATAGAAGGTGTGAAGTTGCCAAGAGAATCGCCCCAGTAGCCTCCTCCGGCAGGACTCCAGATATGGATTGCGGCCCTACAATCCTATTCCGGTGACTGGCCCCTAAATTAGAGTTGGGGAAACTGACCTGTCTTTCCAGTGCGGGTCACCTTACGCAGGTAATTTAGGAGAACCCTGGAGGTATAGCACAGTCTATCCAATTGAAATATTTTTCAGTTAGTGGAGAAAGTGCGGGGTAGGGGTAGTGGCAAGGATGCAGGGCTCATCACAACCTCTGCGGATTTGCTGAATGACCTTGGGCAAAATATCTCCCTTTTCTGGACCTCTGTTTTGGTTCAATAGGAGATTGAACTCTTATCTATGGATTTCAAATTCTGCAAAAAAATACTCGTATTTCTTTATAAACAAAATTTAAAGATGGCTTTTTGTTTGCAGAAATGTTTTAATTAATGGATAGAATTTTTTCCAAATTTTTCTCTCATGTGACTCTTGTTGATGCTACAATCCAACGCAAGGAGGTGCCTGATACTGCACCAAATGTATTTAGGCCTTTTCAATCCCAAATGGCAAGTTGTGTACAGTCTCAACCAGAACCGGAGGGACAGGAGACCTTTCACCAAGGCAGGAGGGCTGCCCTGTGATGGTGCTGTCACATTTGTGAAATATGGAGTCCTTGAAACATTAATGTTACAGAATATGGTTCAATTGGCCAGAGGACAATCGGGAGACACCTGGGGTCAAATGTGTCTGATTGTGAGGTACTGTGGATTTGTGATTGCTAGAAGGTGATTCATCAGCAACTTCAGGATTAATGTGGGGTTGTCTAGGTCTGGCATCTAAAGGGAGTGCTCACTCCATGAAACCTCATAGACCTTCTATTCCTTCAGAATTGTTTTTGGGCCCTTGATTTGGGGTGCAGAGGCTTAGAGGAAATACACAGTAATGCCTCATTCTGACAGGCCTCCCTGTTTAATGGAGAAACACCAAGTACCTTGTCTAGGCAGAATTTTAGAGTTATGCTGTCCAGTACAGTAGCCACTAGCCACATTTGGCAATTAAGCTCTTGAAATGTGGTTAGTCTGAATTGAGATGTGCTGTAAGTGTGAAATAACAGATTGCATTTCAAAGACTTAGTACAAGAAAAACCAAACTATGAATAATGTTTTATATTAATTTGAAATATTTTTAATACATTAGGGTAAATAAAATATTAAAATAATTTCACTTGTTTCATTTTACTTCTTAGTCTACTAGAAAATTTAATATTTACAATAGGCACTGCTGTTCTAGAATACAGAATGTGGCTGCCAGGAGTGAAGTGTGACATATGAGGTGGCTGCCTGGCTGGAGACTGACTGAAATTCAGGCCTGGGTAAGCAGAAGGGTGACAGGGAGGAACTGGCACAGCTAGAGCCAAGAGTTTGGAGTAGTGCCTCTTGTTCTGCACTGCTCATACCTAGGTAAGTCTTACTTTTTCCTGAGGCCAGGGGTCTTTTAAGCTAGAAAGCCTTCCCTGACTTAAATGTACTCCCTTCTGTTTGTGCAGATCTCTTTCCTAACTTAACCCCATTATGGTAAAATCATTCTAGCTGCCTCTATATTCCTTCCACCAAGATACTGCAAGCTCTTTGAGGGCAGAGACTTTGCCTATTATCTTTGTACCTGGAAACTGGGATAGAGTAAAGACCAAGAAGTGTTTGTGGGAATCTAGAAAAGGGAAAGGGGGAATGGAAGAGGCTTGTCTGGTCTGTCTCAAAGAATCAATTACCTACTTGAATCCCTGCTTGGTTCCTTTCTGACCATAAGAGGAGGATGCTGAGATGCCTCAAGAAGTACAGATGGGATCAGGGTACCACAGTAAGCAAAAGAAGGGGGATTTCTGACCTAGGGTCTTCCTAGACCTTCAGGTCACATTGTAGATGTTCTCCTTCCTCTTCCCTTTCCTTGCTTCCCTATGCCTAGGTTCCTCTACTTCATTCCTTTTAAGGAGTGACACAGGTCTAGATGCATCCTCCTGTCTGGCCTCACTTCTTTGTGAGGCCTGAAAAATTCCCTGGTGGGGGATGGTCAGGTGAGTAAAAAGAGCCTTCTCTAAATTTAAGTGTGAAAGTGACAATTTATGTATCTGGGATAGATGTATCTAGGACCATCTCTGTCTCAGCCCATGGTTTGAACAGCTGCTTCCATTAATTGTGAATCTAATTTGTTCTAATAGGCCGCTCTGTCTCAGCCCCCTCACCTCCTTCTCATCCAGTGATCAAATAATTCTCTGGGTGCCCTTTTCTTATTTCTCCATTCTATCGTCTCTGATTACCCAGCACTTTTCCAGTCCACACCAGTCTAGAACAAAAGGAGTCATACACATCATCAGTGATGATGATTTTCTTGGACTGTGCCTCTAATGGTTATGGCCCCCCACCCTCAGATGTTCTTCCAGTTATTTCTTAGCATACCTGGGAGTGTCTTATGTGAGCCCTCTCCGTTACCATATGTATCACCAGGATGTTCCCTCCTACTGGGCCCCCTTTAGTAAGATTTTCTGCCCTCTGCTGCCTGAAAAGCCATGTAAGTGTGCCATACTATCACTTGCTAGTCCCTACCATAACAATAATGAATGGAGCCAAAATATCTGTTCTTAGAAGTGCTGGTAACCCTAATGCAGACAACTTATTCCTAAAAAAAAAACAAAGCAACACAAGGTTTAGTACCAAAGCAGGGAGAATTTTTAGTTTCCCAGTGTCTTAAAGAAATCAGTCCTACTGACCACGAAGATTTTCATATAAATGAAGTACTGCATTATTTGTTGTTTTTTTTTAACCAATAATAGTACATTTTTAATAAATCACATAGTATTTCACAGCAGACCCTGCCCTAGTTTTAAACACTCTTCATTTCTACTCTCCAGAGATAACTTCTTTTATCTTTTAGCTATCTCTTCTGGGATTTATCTCCAGATTTCTTAATAACTTGCTTATACTACCAGCTCTGGATTTTTCAGTTTGGCCTATTATTTTACTTCTTGCTATAGGAAATAAACTATTATACTCCAGTGCCCTTTCATAAACACGTGTATTTTTTCTCTATCTTCCATCCTTCACTATATCATCTTACCTAAGTAAATCACTATTAATTATATTATGATTATATATTATAGTTGGTCCAATTAATATTTTATTTCCTTTTTTTGATTGAAGCTAGCCATTGCCTCTTTCCCATGCTTTCATAAGTGGCTAGCATTGAAGTAATTAATTATCCCAAACTCTACTCTCAATGCATTCAGACACATCAGGTTGCCTAAAATTTGTATTTTAATTTGAGACAACCCTCCAGGAGAGTCTGTCACCTTCCTTCACTCTGGACTGGTGGTTCTTCAAGCCTACACAGCTTTTGTCCTAGGATACTTTATCATTTCTGCCTCTGTTTTTCTGAAAGATTTCCATGTTCCAACTCTTCTGTTGTGTTTTTACATTTAAGTTTATTAGCACTTTCTTGTGAGTATTCTGTTCCATCTAGAAGATGCAATGTATTATTTCTCTGAGATATTTCTAATGTTCTGTTTCTTGAATTATCTGTGTTGAATTTTTCAGTCTTTGTTACTGTCTTTTGTGTTAGAAGCTTTTCTTAAATGTCTGGATTTAAGACATTTAAATCTTACCCATATGTAGAAAGTTGATTGGAGGCTCTGTGTACATAGGGCTATTGGGACACACTGCAGTATTTTTCAAACTTCTGGTTGCAAACCCATTAGTGGTTTGTACATCAGTGTAATCAGTTGCAACCAACTTTTTTTTCCCTCCAAATGACAAGACATTGTATCAGAATACATCATACATAAAAAGGAAATTATTTTTTGAAACTTTGGTTTCATACACACAACCATATATATATTCACATTATGTACTCGTTCAGTCCTGTAAAATGAGATCTCCAAGTGTCAACATAGGAAGTTTTTTTAATCTTGAAAGGAGAGGTAAGTTTCTCTGGAGAAAAATTCTCTAAATTCCTGCCAACTGGTCTGGTAGCCAGTGTTCATTCAAGTATTTGTTAGATACTTATGTGTTAGGCACTGTTCTAGGTACTGGATATTCATCAGTGTATTAAAACACAGAACCTTCTACCATCTTGGAACTAAGATTCTAAACAGGGAGACACTATAAACAAACAGTAAGTTATACGGTATATAGGTACCCTGCTATGGTAACACTACAGTAAGATAAGAGAAAGGTGAATCTGCACAGATGCCAGTGAGAGGGTAAGGTGTGTTAGGAGTGGTGAATGTTCGGATTATTTCATGAATGAAGTAGCAAGCAAGGTTATCATCTGAGAATAAGAATGAGGAAGAAGGTGTTAGTGATCTGAGGAAAGGTGTGAAATAACTTAGGACATAGCCTAGCAAACCATAGCCTGTGGGAAAATCCTGTTTTTGTAGACTGCAATCTAAAGATTATTTTTATACTTTTAAATGGGAAAAAAAATCTCAAGATGAATATTCTATTGTGATATGTAAAATTACATAAATTTCACATTTAGTTTACATATTGCCTATGGCTACTTTCCTGCTACAATGGCAGAGTGGAGTAGTTGTGAAAGACTGTATGACCTGCAAAGCCTAAAATACTTACTAACTGGCCCTTTATAGAAAAACGTTTTCAACCCCTGATCTAGAATAGGAAGATGAATGCCAACAAATAGGATTGCTGGGCGGCCTTAAGGGCCTGAACATTATGGACGTGAATTGAAAGTGAGACCAGTCAATATGGTTGCTGTACAGGTGTAGGCAGAGTAGCAAAGAACTGGCTTTAGCTAAAGTTGAGTGTGACAAAAAAGGGTAAACTGAGTTAAAAGTATATGCAAAGGAGTCATTATAATGATTGACTCTGAGATTTAAGTTGGTTATAAAAGAAAGAAGCACACAGGTTAAGGACAATGAAAGGTGGCTGGATGACAGAAAGAGGTGGTCAGACGGCAGGATACATGAGCTTGAGACTATGGAAGGGTTACAGTTTTTTTGTAACAAATAGCAAGCTCTAAGGTATGACCAGGGACCGAATGGTAGAGGATAAAATCAGTGGAAGACTGTTATCCAAGGAAACTATATGTCAGGGTATTGAAAGGATCATCCACATATAACCAACAAGAATTAAATCAGGAGTAGCGTTGAGGGGAATGAAATGAGCCAAGAGCTAAACTTATTGAGAAACTAGTAAATAACCCAGGGGTTGAGGTTTCGTAGATGATAACAATGAAAGGAATAAGTGATTCAAGTAATGACATGAGACTCAAAGCTGGGGAGTTTTACGGGAAGATAGATGGAGAAATGTCTGGAAGCAATGAGGAATGAAGCATCCAGCCCATCTCTAGGACCAGTAATAAGACTGTGGGAGAAAAAGCCATCTTAAAGAGGGCTGTAGTAAAAGCATTGTCTTAAGAGAACAGGCACATTTTCAGGGTCTGGGATCCAAGCCAGGGAAAGAGATGTCTGACACTTCAGAATGCTAAACCTTAAATACCCATTTTCAGTAGGATGCCTCCTCTCAGCTCCCTTGTTCTTGGTAGCTCCAACTAGTTCAGCTTCTCCAGGGAATGAACAAATGAACTAATAAATGAATAAGGGGTAAGGATCTCAGGTCTAACTTATTTTATAGCCTTTCAAATATTCACCTTGTTTTTAGCCCTCGACCCCTACTACTCGCTTTTCATATAACTGATGTCTCCAGTTCTTGTCTTTTCTAGGGTTTTGTAATACACATTTGCTTGCCTTTTTTTTACTATTACTGTCCCTATCCCCACCTTAGGTTTCTTCTTTCTCTGGTCTGCTTCATCAGTTGTTGCTTGTCTTTTACTTTCCAGATTCAAAGAGTTTGTTGGCATTGCTCGGGCACTGTTACCTTTTCTCCCATTTATTTGTCCTCATTGGTTTATATCATTTAACATCCCTTTACTGTCATATTCATTGGGTTTCAGGAGGAAGCTGTTTTTCCAGGCCAGCATTTTTTTTTTTTAGTTATAATTGTACATTTTACATTCTGTAAAGTTTAAAACAATAAAAATAATTTAAAAGTAATGTGTTCCAGTCACACAATTACATGTTCATTATGCTCCATAAAAGTTGTATTTAACCAAACAGTTCTCCTCTTTGTTTAACATTGGCTAGAGAACAAAGGCAAATTGTGATAGGAAGTAGGCATATATATACTTAAATGTACTAGTTTAATATTATGACTTCCCACCCAATTAGAAACTAAATGAGGACCATATAGGTCCAGGTCACCATTTTTAATAAGATGTTGTTAACAAGCATTCTGTTAAGGAGTCAGACATGTATAACTGGCTTGCTCTTCCCAGGATGCTTCTCAGACCCTCAAACACATAGGCTCTGACTGGCCCACCCTCCAGGCTTCTGGTACACAGACAGATCTGAATCCCAGTGGTGGAGTCAACTTAGGTTGATGGTGGGATGTCCACCCTGTTTTTCCTTCCCTTTGTTATTATGTTCCTGCCCCTCCCCTCACTCTTTACCTGCTGATACTGAGCTTTACTATTTCTGGTATTCTACTCAGGTTAGGGGATATACTCATCTAGATCCTCCTCTTTGGCTGATTTCCTCAGACCTTAGAACAGGCTTCCTTCACGTACCCCTGTGGTCTCTAATTGGTCTTTATGAAACCTGTTCACTTTAATGTACTTTTTGTCCCCCAACTTGTTCCTATATACCACAGAGAAAATACGAACTCAGATATGTGGTGGACAGTTTCTAAAAAATTTTCAAAACAGAGTAATTGCTGCTTCATATGGCCAGGCCCAGCACCGATGAAATTCATGTATCCTTATCCATTTAAAAAAATGAGTAAGATGAGAACAATTGCAGCAGCCACCCAAGTAAAAGGTTATTCAGTATATCTAAGGAGGCTGTCATTTCAAAAGAGAGGCCCACAGTATCCCACATTAGTTCACCAAATGATGAAAGCAAAGTTAAATTCCTGTTATCTAGGCTCACAGTATAGAATATTATGTGTCCCTACTCCATTTGCCCTCCAAGTCTCTCCTCTGGCAAACAAGTATCTCTACTAGATCAACCATATTTCCTCTTCCCAACCTATTTCCCCTGTTCAAGGCAACTGGCATGATTTGGTTATGTCAAGGCTGGAGTATGTAGCTTCCCTGAAGACCTAGGCTCTCTGTATTAATTATAAATTGGGAGGCTACTCTAGTTCCAATAAAAGCAATGCCAGGACTGAATTCCTCTCTCTGGTTTTGGTGGCTGGGATTTGCTGGTTAGGATGTAAGTCCAGGAAAGGTGTGATGAAGGTGCTGGAAAGAAAGAGCAAAGTTTATAGTTATCAGACTGCTAGAATCTTTGAACAAGTCACTACCTAGAAGCAGGTAAAGATCCAGATTTTTCTCCATTCTGGTCTGACATATGGCAGCCCCAGTCTTCCAGAACTACCACAATCCTTGAATAAAAAGGTCTTTGAGAAAACAGTTATCACTATGCCCATATGCTTGACACCATATGAGAAACAGCTGCCTGGCACAAGTCGTCAGCCAGACAAGTGAGCATAAAATAAGATAGTAACATGTTACAACTCAGAATGCACTGATAATGGAAGGAAGAAGCAGCAGCTGAGAGAGGAGTGCAAGCCAGAACATACTGACTGGTTTGTTCCTGCTTTCTGATTTCTTAACAGTAGCCTGCAACTCTTAAGTCCAAATTAATGAATCTTATGTTTGCAGCAATGGCAGTGAGTCAATAAGAAACTACATTTGATTCACAATGTCATTTAATAATGATGTTCTAAAAATTAAATTTTAGCATTAGAAATAACTTTGGAGGTCTCCTTATCCACCCTTCCACCCACTGCAGAAATCTCTTTCATATTGTTGCTAGGAAATGATCATTCCACCTTTCACTTCCAGTCAGAGAATTTACACACAGTCCATTTAGTTATGCTAAATGGTTGTATCTTGATATTACTATGAACGTTTGATTTTCCTTCTGTAAAATTGTGACTACCACCTTCTTGGAAGGAGTTAGCATTGTCCCTAGTTTACAGTAGACATTTTCCTCCAACCTCCACCTAGTGGAAATGCTTGCCTTCTGGTGCCAGAAAGAACACTTTCCACATGGGAACTCTGAAGACAGTAATCAAGTTACTACCACCCTTTTCTGGATGCTCCACAAATTATATACATATCTCTGTTTTACAAATGACATCTACACACAGAGTCTTTAATACTTCCACATACAGAATGTGTAATCAACAAACACCAACATCATCTCCACACAATCTGTTAATCTAACTTCTCTCCCACGGTGCAAGTGCATAGGTTTTTAAAAATGATAGGATGTATATTTTTACTGTTAAAACTTAATTGTGTTGGTTTCATTCTATTAAGAGTATAGTGAATCATTTTATTCTGTTACTCATTACATAAGAGTGAGGCTGGGTAAGTCTTTTTACGTTTTTTATATTTAGAATAAATGGACAAAAATAAGACAAAACCTTTTGTGGTGGAATAGTAGTATCATCTAAGCAGTAGAGAACCTACATAATTCTAGATTGTGATAACCACTGCTATAGCTATATTTCTTGTTGACTGTTTAACCATACTGCTTACATATTTAAAATATTAACACATAAAAGTTAAGTTTCTATCATCTATAAAATGCATTTATTTGGAATGTAATTTAGACAATGGCTTTAACTATATATTAAGGTTCATTCAACCTTTCCTCTTCCCGAACTTCTATTTGTTTGAACTAAATGTTTCCTTTTCTAGAAGAAACTGTTCTCTCATATCACCGACCTACTATAAAAGATTGTTCTCAGATACAGTGAAAGCTTTGAGGGAATACCATATGCCAACCACCTTACATGGATTCTCATTTGATACTGTGAAGTAAGTACTATTATCACTTTTGTTTTACAGACTACAAAACCAAGTTCAGAGAGGTTTACTAGTTTGCCCAAGGACATACAGCTAGTAAGAGGAGTTGAAGGACTAGGAACAATGGAGGAAACAAGGACCACAAAGCCTTGTGTTCAGAAGACCCTATCAGAGAGACACTAATGCAAGTAGGCTGTGCCTGGGCTCCCCCACCTTCTAGGGGCCCTGACACAGACACTTTGTCAGACAAGCACACAGAGGGGAAGATTTCACTTTATTGTTACATCAATCTCACAAATAAACCTAACACAGCGAGAAACACTGAGCAAATAAAGTGCCAATGCAGAGGCCTAGCAACAGAAGGAGGGAGGAATCCGGTTCATCTCCCCCCATGTCCCCAACCTGAAAGATATTTCTATTACACAAGAGTAAGGGCAGCTGACAAACAATCCATTCTATTGGCGCTCTGATCTAAGGAATAGAAAATGTTACCAGCTGGGGTCTGTGCAGGGTAAGGAATAGAAAAGTCAGAAAACATTTGCTCCTCAAATAAGTCAGTGATAGAAATACCAAATGACAAAAACAATACTTTTCAAACTCCCTATATTTGAGATGGACACCTAATAAGGAATAAGAGGGTATCAGTCCCACAGTTTACTTTTTGCTGCTGCCTGTCTTCAGAACTGTGACTTGAGTGGACGTTCTCTTTCACAATCAATCAGAGGCACCAGAGTGAATTTTCTAGGATTCTGGAAAGAACTGACTTTACTTGTTTACCTTGCCAGCCTCCCCAAAAGTAGATCCAGTGCTCCCTCATAAATATCAAGGAGATATTGACTATCAGAGTACAACTTGGCAACATTTAAAGATTATTGAAGCTCTAGACATTTTAAGGTACCTCTATCAAGCCTGAAGTGTAAAACACAATTATTTGGTTAATGAATTTTAGTCATTTGACTACATTAATATTATGAGACCTTAAGCTCAGATCACTTCATTTGTTTGTATTCCAAAACTGGAAAATCACTGGTTGATTCTCAGAGGCCTCTAAGGGTGATCTGCTCATCCCCCTGAAGCCATATAACCCTGAACTCAAAAAAGCCAGAATCAGTCACATCTTTCAGCACCTGAGAATTCCTGGCCTCACTGGTCCACAGGGAAAACAAATAAAGATTAACAAGTCTAGGAACTTCCAACACACCACACTTTTGGCCAAGAGTCAAGGCTCAGAGCGGAACTTCCAACTAGGAAGGAGTGAAGTATTTCAATTCATTCCTAGGATAAGTAGCAGGTCAGAGTGGTGCCACGATAGGTAGGCAAGGACAATGGAGAGGTCTCATTGGAAAGGTACAGGTTCCCCCTCGGTAAGAAAACAGGGTGAAGTAGGAGGGCACACTGAAGGCTGGTAGGCTGGGGTCACCCCCGCTGAGCTTCAGATATGGTCTCCCCTACTGTGGTTGTGCTTAGTTTTCCATCTCACTTCCTCTATAGATGGTGTAAGAAGGTGGTGTGGGGATGACTCAGTGACAACTGGCTTCAGTATAGCTGCCTCACTGTTTAAATGGCAGTCACCAATTTCCTAGTCTTTAGGGAGCTTCTATAAGCCTAAAAATATTCAGTGTCCCAAAGAGCTGTTCAGTAGATATAGGAGCTGAAGAACACTAGGCTAGATTGTTGGTGGGACCTGGCAAAGTTCAAAGTGAGATCCATTTAACACTCTGGGAACTAATGCTATAAACCAAGGGTAGACTTGGAAATCTCTCAAAGGGATACCCACAGCTGGCTGTTTTTCTGACTTCTCCAAACACTTTATGACCAATGAAGGGGAGATTCCATTGAAGCTATCTGTGCCCAAGCTGATCCTCAGCACAAAACCTTCAAGAAACCTCTATGATCTCCAACCCTTTCAGAGGGGTCAGGAGATAATGGACAGTCAGATAAAGTTGTCCTTAACACTGCCAGCATCTGTCTTGCTTCATTCCTTGTATCAGGACAGCACTGAAGAGTTTCCAGCCCTCAATTCCTTGCCCAGAAGTTTTATTCCTGATCTCCATTCCAGAAAGGTTTTCCTATGTAGACCTTCCCACCAATTGATTCTACCCAGTACTCCCCTCTATTCTCAACCTGCTCTGGTTTCTTTCATCTCCTGTTCCCAGCTACTTGAGACCATAGAAGATAAAAAGCAGACTACACAGCAATACTGATTGGATATTGGGGGCATCAATGTCTGACAATGAAGCTCAGATTATTTAATGAAACCTTCAATTCCATCTCAGAGAGTGATTAATGTTCTTCTTTTTGCGGTTCCTTCCCCCTCCTCCCCTCCAAGTTCAAGGTGAGAGACTATCTTATTGATCTTTGTACCCTTGGCCTTTATGCACCAACATAAGGGCCTAAATGTGACAGTTTGGGGCAGGGGACTTTTAGTGGGCTTAGCACACAGGAGGGAGGGCTACGCAGATAGATAGTATCTATCCCCAAAGCATATTCTTCCCCTATCTTGCCTTTTTACAAACCCTCACCTTTTTGTCCTCCTCTCAAGGCTTGAAGACAAGTGAAGCAGCATGGTAGAATGAACATAGCCTTGGCTTGTCAGGTCTGAGTTCTAGGTCCCTTCTGCCACTGACTCAGTATATGAGCTTAGACAATTCACTTGCCTCTCTGGACCTTTAAATGAAAGGGCTGAACTAAATGATCTCTCTGGGCTCTTTCAGGTCAACTCATACTTAAGAAATCAATGGATGAATTAGAAGAAATTCTAAATCTGACATATAGGTATCTTGCACCTCTTGGAAACAGCTAAAAGGAGGTAAAGGTCAGGTTCCTATTTGTTATACATTTTAGCTATAGGAAAAGAAGCAAATGTATCTATAGAGAAAATAGAACCTGGCAGCCCCTATACTTGACTAATAAAAGCAAATTCCTGTAAGAAGCAGAGAAATAGGCCACAAGTGAGACCTGGCAGTGTCAAAAACACCTATAAATTAAGTGACCAAAGGAGTAAAAACAATGGCTATAACCAGATAAGATCTCTAAGCACAGACTAAAGTCTAGAGAGGTCTGGGTGGGAAGGAGCTCCTGGAGCTTCTGTTAGAGGGAAGGACTTGGTCCACAGCAAGTTGCTATTGCATTTGGTTCAAACCCAGTTTTCTCAATCTGTCAACCTGGTGTGTGTGTGCATACGTGCAGACATGCTGCAGGCTGTACTTATGCTTCTGAAGTGCTGAAATGAGAAAGAAATAGAAGAAATCATACCAAATTCAAAGAAATTAGGCTGAATTGCAAGTACAATTTTACTTTAAAAACTACTCATTTTCCCCACCACTCTGTGCAGTATCATCACTGCTCACTCTGAAATGTGGTCTAGAGAGTTTTGTGGGATGGTGAACTCTGGGGGTGGGGAGGAGTGTACCTGTGGTATAATTGAAGGTCAAAGACAGGACATACCCAATATCCTGTGTGAGAGAACCTCTCTGGTTAATGATAAGTGGATTTGACTTGACCTGACTCATTTGGGCACTCACTTGTCTTCATTCAAGGAAACTTTCTCCACAAAAGGGATTTCTTCCTTGTCTGTCTTCCCCATGACCAGCCGGTGCTTATCCAAGTTTATGATGCACTGAAAACAAAAAATCATATGGGTCACTGTCAATGATCCCACTATGGAATATTCATGTAAGAAGACTTCTACCTCAGAGAAGAAGCATCACAGGGAAAGTAGAGTCAATCCTACCTTCAGGGATCGGAGAGTCTGGAGACCAAGGGATAAGTTTTTCTCATTGTCCTCTAATAAAAAAAAAATTAAGATTCATCCATTTCCATGCAGGTTTAGAAACCAGCCTTATCACCATTAGGTTCCATCCCTCTATCCATCCAATCAACACCTGTAGAGCATCTATTGTATTAAGTTTTTCCCTGATTATTATAGTTACAAGGCAATAGAGGCAAGATTCAATACCAGATCTTTTTAACTCTAAAGGACAAAGACCTTGAGACAAAACCCAGGAACTCTGAGTAGTGTAGAACATAGTACTTGGGGGAAAATACAGGAAATGGTGGAAATTTGTCAAGGGGTTTATGGCAAAGAATTAAGAGGATCTTGCCCTTTACCTCCAAACAGCTCATGGAAAGCTCTCAGGAGCCATTTTAACTGGCACACAAAAATGTTTGTTTTATTGCCCCGTGAATTTTTTTTTATCCTGAATTACACACTCATTTTTCTGAATGGCTCCCAACATGTCTTGAATGTAGCTCAGGGCCCATCTGGGACTTTGGAGGGCAAAAATTGGGACAGGGTCTCAAGTACAGAAAAGTGAAAACATGGTATTTTGAAGAAGCCAATATTTATAGGCATGAAGTCTCATGAGGGTTTGGTGGAAACAGGGAGAGGGTTTACATTAGCAGTCCATATGTACAGTCCTCAATTCTACTCACCAACCACAGCTGCTGGGCAGTCCAGGCAGAGGGAGCCAAGTGTGATCACCAGGTGCTCAATCTGGCCCACTACTTTCAGATGCCGAGGTAGAGAAAGCTTCTCTCCTTCATGCTTGTGAGATCTGACATGCTCCTTGAGTCTGCAACAGAGAGGAAGATAACAAAATCCCTTTGGTAGAGGTTTCTGAAGGAATCTGGCAATGCCTACCTTCTGACTCATAGTTGGAATCTTCCAGGGATTTACTGGGATTAATTTACCAAAAAAGTACTATCCAGACTATCTATTCTTGTTTCAGAACTTTTCCTAAATCCTAAACATACTAGGAGATATAAAAAAACTAAAGATTCAGCTCCACTTCTCAAAAAGCTAGCTGCATTGATGAAAGATGAGAATTGACACAATTAGAGAATCCTATTCTGCATCCTAACATCTCCACCTATGTTCAAGGCAATTTGGTTAACATGTTCTTTTACTCATCAGTAGATAATAGATCTCAGAAAGGGCAGGTTAATCCTAATTTTAAAATATGCTTTGTTCGATGTCTAATTTTCTGTTTGTCTTTTCTATTTCACTCTATCCCCATCAGTTAGTCTGAGGCTAATGGAGGCAAGTACTTATTTGGTAAGTACATCAATATTGGTATTAGCAAGGAATATTGTGGAGAAAGTTCTAATTAATTTAACTTGTCTGTGCAGGGAAGGAAGGCAAGGAACAGCACCAAGGTTTCACACAGTTATGTAAGCTGACTAGAACAGCTAGCACCCAAGCTATTATGACTTGATGGATAAATACTTAATTATGGACTTTCTGTGCCAATACTTCTGCTTTACTCCATTTCCTCTCTTTTGGTTTTATAGCCCATCCAAAAGAAAAATAATTTCAGTTTTACAGATGGTTATTATTTTCTCTGGAATCATGGCAGTCTGCTGCCTAATTGTGCACCAGGACATTATTAGTGTTTCTAGAAGCATCATGTTACACTATATCTCATTTCTCCACCACACAAAAAAGCTCAGGATTTTTCCCACAACAGCACTTGTGCCCTGGACTCCCCACCACCACCCCAAATAGCAATGTGTAAAACCCATAGAGTCAGTTTCAAAGAATCACAGTGGTGATGAGGGGTGAGGACAGGATAGAAACAAGAAGAAACAGACAGCAAGGCAGAGATCAGATTATACAAATCAAGCCCTGTGCAAGTCCTACTTAAGAATACAGACATCTGGAAAGTAGCTTGAAATGGACCATTCTATCTAGCCTAGTGATTGTTTCACTACAGAGATTTGGGCTGCAGAATGATTTCTTGTACTTAGGGTTAGAGAAATGGAAAAGGATAGTGGGTTGGTCCTCCCAATTCTGGCTAGACCTCAGGGCCCACTGATACTTTGGAGGAAAGAGAAGGAAAAAGGAAAGAAATAAAAGTACAGATTAAGTGAAAAGGAGGAAAGATACAAAATGACTTTCCCTGACTAAGAGGGAAAACCCAATTTCAGCTTTTAGAGAACTGAAGACATTCAATATAGGGGGTGTCTGCCTCACATCCAATCCCCAGCAGGGGCATCAGTAAAATATGATTTTACATACTCTTCACAGAAAGGAAAGGTACCAAAAACTAATGGTAATCACCCCTATGATGTTCAGGCCCACAGCAAGAGCAGCCCTCTTCCAAGTTCTGACTGATGCTTCTTGGGACAAGCATTGTAGCTGCTTCCAGAAGGACCCTGCGTAAGCTAAGGCCAACTACATTCCTGATTTTACTCATTGGGGGTATACCAATAGGACAGCTCCTTCTAATTGGTTGTCTGGGCAGGGCACAAATCAGGATCAGGGCATGGCACACAATGAACCAAGGATCTCACATTCCCATTCCAGAGTCCAAAGTTCTTTACTCAAAACATAATATATGGGAGTTAATGGAAAGCCTGAGGCTCTCCTGGCTCACTGATTTCTCCCCGATAGCTGACGACCCACCACTCTACCCCTCTACTAAGGACTGGTTCCAGCTGATATCTGACCTCTTCACATTTCACTTAGAGCGTTGGTGGAGAACCTCACCATCTCTAACCCCAAAATAGATTCAGACAAAGAGTGCATTAGCATATGAATTTCATGCAGCACAAGTGGCTACTTACCCCAGTCTGTCCACACAGGCTGAAGAGATGAGATTATACTGACAACCTGTATCAACCAGGGCTTTCACATCCTTTCCAGCACACTGTGGAGAGTGAACATGGCCAGATGTTCAGCAGAGCCAGATAAGCAAAAGGGAATGGAGATTCCAAGAGCAAGCAGCAGATACCGTATGAAAGGCAGGGTTGGAGAGCATCCTTACAATTATGGGTTGGCAGTATCCCATCTTTACCTACTGCTGAGTCTCCTTTGAGGGACTCTTTTTCCTGATGAATCTAGAACTGACAGAGGATCCCAAAGGACATTCTATATACCTAGGAGCTTCTGTGTGTATGTGTGTGTGTATGACATACTGCTTTGCAAATCTGACTAAAGCTTTGATCCTTCTTCCCATAAATATGCATATACATACAAAATATTGCATACGCTTCCTGTTTTTCAGGACTGCCCTCCTTAAAACTCATTTATGAATTCCATAAGATCTGTACTCTGTACAGTGTAGAGGAGAGGGTCCCACTGTTGGGACCTAACAGGCCCAAATACTACTCTCCAGAAAACCATGGAAAAGCTATTCTCAGAACATTACCTGGCAAGAAACCAAAATCATGTCATCATCCTCAGACTTCTTTAGTCCCTCAGACTTAGCCTGATTGTGCTTGTTGGTCTTGGAGGCCCATGGGACACGACTGCTTCGGAGCTTAGACAGGTTGGTTTCCATGAGGCGCCTCTGCAGAATGTTATGAGGTTGCTTGAGGAATAGAAAGCAGAGGCTTCTTAGTGACAGATAATTTCCCACTTCTCCCATTGTCCCTTGGTACCATAGAAGTAATACAGGAGTCTCACATAACTGAGCTCTACCTTGCTTATTTATTTTTCCTTCTGGTTGGGACTTCATTGATATTGCCAGAACAGGTACTATAAACCAATTTGCAGTAGACCACCCTGAATGAGAGAGCAAGGTAGGACACTGGGAAATGTGGACTGGGCCAGTGAATATTCTATGGCTAAAGAGAGCTGAGGGACCCTTGTGATTTGGACTACCTGAGCCTGCTGCCTTCCCTCCCCTTACAAAGGCATTCAGGAGAAAGGTGGCCTTAGTCTATGCAGAATAAGTGTATCTTCCCAGGCAACACAGAAGGGGAAGCTCATTTTCACAGTCTGAAGACATCTACCTAGCACTGGTTACTTACTTATATTTCAAATCTCACTCCTTACAGTCTTATCTTTTGGACCTAGGCAGCAGACACTCTGGTGACCTGGCTCTGAGTCACCCATTGGATAGATGGGCTAGGAAGGCAGAAATTCACATTTGTTGAGCAAAACTCTCAGGACACACTTTGGAAGCTGGCAGAACCCACAAGAATCATCCTTACTAACTTCAAGGAGCATAAAGCAACTCCTGCCATATGCTTGTCATCCATTCCCCCCTCTCTTCAGTGGACCATAAAATGAGAATATAAGAGGAACAGAGAATGACCAAGAAGCAGGTCACTTAATTAGACCTTATATCTGGTGCCTAGATACCTAATGCGAGAAAGCAGAAGGATAAATGTGAATCCCAGTCTGTTCTTTGATAGAGCTTAAGAGAGCTCCCAGGGCAGATATATCTATGCGATACCTTTCTACCCAAAGTGATCTCTGGAAAGTATAAGCTACCTCTCAATAAGAAGTAATTTTGATCTGAGAAATTTCTATACACAAGCATCTTATTCTCAGTTTACAGTAATTTTAAAATTCCTGAAAGGAGTCTGACCCCAAGTTTCTGTGTAACATACCAAATGGCACTACAATTCTGGAGGAAGAGAGTCACTCTCAGAAGGCCAGAGCCTAGAACTTTCCCATGGAAGGGGATAGAACTAGAGAAGGGCTTCATTATCTACCACTTTACAGATTTCTGAGGAAGAACGGAGTCAGAGCCATGACTTACTGTAAACCCTGGTAAGGTGAACAAATGGATTCCTAAAATACGCTGATTCTCAGCAAAGCAGATTCTAAATTGGGCAAAGGAGAGAGAGAGGCACTTAAAAGAAAGAGAGCTTCTTAACTTGAAAAAGAGCTAGAGGAAGTGCTAACTCTGTCAGAACTCCTGCCATAACACTGGGAGACTGCTTTGCTCCTCAAAAGAAATGGAAATTCAGAGAACAATTAAAGATGGCAGCATGAGAGCTGAGAAAGAAACCTCCTCCCAAAACCACACCTGCTGCCTTCCCTCCCCTTACAAAGGCATTCAGGAGAAAGGTGGCCTTAGTCTATGCAGAATAAGTGTATCTTCCCAGGCAACACAGAAGGGGAAGCTCATTTTCACAGTCTGAAGACATCTACCTAGCACTGGTTACTTACTTATATTTCAAATCTCACTCCTTACAGTCTTATCTTTTGGACCTAGGCAGCAGACACTCTGGTGACCTGGCTCTGAGTCACCCATTGGATAGATGGGCTAGGAAGGCAGAAATTCACATTTGTTGAGCAAAACTCTCAGGACACACTTTGGAAGCTGGCAGAACCCACAAGAATCATCCTTACTAACTTCAAGGAGCATAAAGCAACTCCTGCCATATGCTTGTCATCCATTCCCCCCTCTCTTCAGTGGACCATAAAATGAGAATATAAGAGGAACAGAGAATGACCAAGAAGCAGGTCACTTAATTAGACCTTATATCTGGTGCCTAGATACCTAATGCGAGAAAGCAGAAGGATAAATGTGAATCCCAGTCTGTTCTTTGATAGAGCTTAAGAGAGCTCCCAGGGCAGATATATCTATGCGATACCTTTCTACCCAAAGTGATCTCTGGAAAGTATAAGCTACCTCTCAATAAGAAGTAATTTTGATCTGAGAAATTTCTATACACAAGCATCTTATTCTCAGTTTACAGTAATTTTAAAATTCCTGAAAGGAGTCTGACCCCAAGTTTCTGTGTAACATACCAAATGGCACTACAATTCTGGAGGAAGAGAGTCACTCTCAGAAGGCCAGAGCCTAGAACTTTCCCATGGAAGGGGATAGAACTAGAGAAGGGCTTCATTATCTACCACTTTACAGATTTCTGAGGAAGAACGGAGTCAGAGCCATGACTTACTGTAAACCCTGGTAAGGTGAACAAATGGATTCCTAAAATACGCTGATTCTCAGCAAAGCAGATTCTAAATTGGGCAAAGGAGAGAGAGAGGCACTTAAAAGAAAGAGAGCTTCTTAACTTGAAAAAGAGCTAGAGGAAGTGCTAACTCTGTCAGAACTCCTGCCATAACACTGGGAGACTGCTTTGCTCCTCAAAAGAAATGGAAATTCAGAGAACAATTAAAGATGGCAGCATGAGAGCTGAGAAAGAAACCTCCTCCCAAAACCACATATAATATGAAAATATAGCAAATACATCCAATCCTGAAAGAGCAACAGGAAAGAAGGCTGCGACAGACTGCCTATACCTGGAGAAAACAGCAGACCTCAAGGAAAAGGGTAAAGTACCAATGCCATGATCCAGATGAACCCAAGTCCTTCCCCCACCCCAACTCACCAGAGGGAGGAAGAGAAACAGAGCAGGAAGTGGGTGGAGGCCTAAGACTGTGAACACCCAGCCCTGGAGATCTGCTCTGGGAGCATGAACCTGCATTACATGGTTCCCTGGAGATTAGTGGGGTTGGAAAGCTAAAACAGGTGGAATACTTGGAGAAACAGATTCCAGCCACTTATGGAAAACACAGATCCACAACTGGCCACTCTGGGACAAAAGAAAGGCAGGCTGAGAGACTTCTTAATAGCGAGAGGGCTGCTAAAGGGGCAGGGATTGCACAGAGCTTGCTGATCAGGAGAAAGGACAGGTGGACAAAATTGGCAAGGTGCACTCTGTCCAGCAAGTTGGGAACTTTCAGGGGCTTCATGCACTCCATCCTCCTGGCTGGAGACACAGTTACGAGGCTCCCCACAGCAATACGCAGCCTGCTGTGCCTTCCTCCTGGGCAGTACCAGCTTGCAAACCAGTTGCCCTGGCCATTGCATGAGGACGGCCACAGGACAGCCCCGCCTATGGCAGCTACAAGTGGAAAGCCCAGAGGCCCTGGGCATTCAGTTCTCTGGCCCCGGCAGTGAAGACAGGCACTGCGGCCGGGAAGCAGGGAAGAGCTATTTCCTCTGACAGGCACCAGTGCCACTTGCCTGTGAATCCCGCCATCACTCCAGGGGCTGAGCAGCTCCAGAGAGTAGTTTCTGGGCACTAGAGGGCGCCATCTACAAATATAAAATGTCAAAGGAACCTGGTTCAAACCAGAAACCCACAAACACCAGGAAGAGGGCCAAGTGAAACTGAACTCATCAATCTTCCTGAAAGAGATTTCAAAATAAAAATCATAAACATGCTCATTGAGCTACAGAAAAATATTCAAGAACTCTTGGAGGAATTCAAGAATGAGATACAAATGTTGAAGAATGCAGTATCTGAAATGAAACATACAATGGAGGGATTTAAAAGCAGATTAGATGAAGTAGAGAAGACAGTAAATGAAATAGAAATTAGCATAAATAAAAAGAAGCTCAGGCACAGACAGAAAAAAGGATCTCTAGAAATGAAAGAATATTGAGAAATCTGTGTGACCAATCCAAATGGAACAATATTCGCATTATAGGGGTACCAGAGGAAGAAGAGAGAGAAAAAGGGACAGAAAGTGTCTTTGAGGAAGTAATTGCTGAGAACTTCCCCAATTTGGGGAAGAAGATAGTCTCTTAGGCCATGGAGGTTCAAAGATCTCGCAACACAAGGGACCCAAGGAAAAAAACACCAAGACATATAATGACTAAAATGGCAAAGATCAAGGATAAGGACAGACTAATTAAAGCAGCCAGAGAGAGAAAAAAGATCACATACAAAGGAAAACCCATCAGGCTATCATCGAACTTTGCAACAGAAACCTTACAGGCCAGAAGGGAGTGGTGTGATAAATTTAATGCAATGAAGCAAAAGGGCCTCAAACCAAGAATACTCTACCCAGAAAGATTATCATTTAAATTTGAAGGAGAGATTAAACAATTTCTAGATAAGCAAAAGCTGAGAGAATTTTACCTTCCACAAACTGTTTCTATAGTGTACATTGTTGGGACTGCTCTAGATGGAAGTGTTCCTAAGGTTAAATGGCTGTCACCAGAGGAAACAAAATCACAGTAAAGAAAGCAGACCAATTAATTACTATAGAGATGCAAAATCAAATCAACTACCCCCAAAGTCAGTCAATAGATACACAAAGAGCATAGAATATGATACCTAATATATAAAGAATGGAGGAAGAAGAAAACGAGGGGAAAAAAAGAACCTTTATATTGTGTTTGTAATAGCATACTAAGTGAGTTAAGTTAGACTATTAAATAGTGAAGAAGTTACCCTTGAACCTTTGGTAATCATGAATCTAAAGCCTGCAATGGCAATAAGTACATACCTATCGAAAATCACCCTAAATGTAAATGGTCTGAATGCACCAATAAAAAGACATAGAGTCACTGAATGGATAAAAAACAAGACCTATCTATATGCTGCCTACAAGAGACTCACTTCAAACCCAAAGACATACACAGAATAAAAGTGAAGGGATGGAAAAAGACATTTCATGCAACTTATAATAAGGAGAAAAAAGCAGGACTTGTAGTACTTGTATCAGACAAAATAGACTTCAAAACAAAGAAACAAGAGACAAAGAAGGACATTATATAATGATAAAGGGGTCAGTCCAACAAGGGGACATAACCATTATAAGTATCTATGCACC